CCGAGGACTTTCGATTGTCGCAGTTGTGCGTTGCGCCCGGGACAGAGCTAAAGCAACACGTCGGCTCACTGGGGTGATTGTAGCTGGTACAACGAGTTTGTCTTTTACGACTACAATGCGCCGCTGGACGTGGAGGAAAGGTTCCACGGGTTTTTCAACTACGTCCTGGTCGAGCCACCGTATTTGGTACATTTGAACGTCAGTCGAATTCGGGAGACTGATGACGGTGCTGGTGGCGTTGACGGTGCAGTGCATGAAAGGGTTTGGTCAGACCATGAACTTGATTTCGCGGGAGGCCAAGACCACACCTGACGGCAAGCAAGTCATGGTGATGCCCAACGCGTTTATCAATTGTTAGCCCCATCGCCCGCTCTCGTAGTACGAACTTCACTTGTGGCAATAGCTGGAGCTCTGCGCGACGCCATGGCGACCGAGCTGGGGCTCACCCCGTGTGGGTTTCTGCCGACGTTTGAATCGAAGCTGTCGAACCGGTTGACCACTTATATCAACTACACGTCGACTCGGTTTGACCCCTACGAAGACTAGAAAATACATGCAACATTTTCCCCAATATGTCGATTGTTTTTCGTACACACGACGGTGAGAGACAGCGTGGCCGACTCATGCACCGAGTCACCGTTCCCTGACACTACGTCGTCCTTTCGCGCTTGCCCTCTTGATCCATCACGCTGCTCACTCTTGAATTTATGCGTGCGGCTGTGTGTAGGTCGATGGCCAGCCAGAGGGTTACAGGCAGCAAGCGGTTAGCTAGCGACTCAGGACCGTCAATCGAGTAGTGATTTGATACGGTTAATATACTCTGTTCCTATGTTCAGTTGTTATTCCTACTGGCGCATGCATGACGACTTTGAAGCTTGTCCTTCAGCGACGCTACACCGTCGCTGGCAGACATCAACAATGCAACGATGCAAGTCACAATCTTGGCCATGACCTTTCGTCACCGAGTTCTTGGTTTCCAACTTCCATATGTTTTGTGTTTCGCAAGCGCGGGAATCTTAAACACTCCCCTAACTCAGACGAAAGGTCGTGGCAGTTGGGCAGTCGGCGGACCGTTCTGTATTCTGTTTCTCTTGGCTTGATCATTGTCCAATTTCGAAATGTTTCGATCGAGAATTTCTGGAGCAGTTCGTCAAGCCATCGGCGCGCATCTCGGCGGTGGAGACAAAGACGAGCGTGAGGCGGCCGTGCTGGACAAGTTCGCGCAGGTAGTGGTGGCAGATGTCGATGTGTTTGCTACGTTCTTGAATGGTGATTGACTTGGACGTGGTGATGACTGACATGTTGTTCCTGTATAGGACTATGCGGTTATCTTTGACGCAAAGGTCATTCAAGAGGCCGCGCAGCCATGTCAACTCGCGGGTGGTTTCGGCGGCGGCGGTGTATTCGCCTAACAGCTTGAAAGTGCGGTGATGCGTTGGCGGATGCACTTCCACATGAGCGGCCCACCCAAGATCGACCAAGTGAAGCCGTTAGTAGAATGGCGATCGGGATGCGTCGCCCAGCTTGCTTCACAGTACCCGGACAAGGTGAACTCTCCTGAACCAAAGCTGATGTCCCATGTTGTTGTATCGCAGGACTCGTTTGGAACCGAGCAGGTGTGGGCGCGAGGGACATGAAGGTGACAAGACAGTCATCGGACGGCATGAATGATGCCGTGTCCGGTGCAGACTATGAGATATACGAGCGATCCAACAATGGCGTCGTACTCTCGTTGGTCGATAGGCGGTTGATGTTCGTCATACCATAGGTCTTCTTGGTCGGTAACTTCCGGGGTGGTCACGGGATGGCAGTTAGCTAGCTAGCCCAATGCGCTCGAGGACTTTGGTCGCGTATGCGTCTTTGTTCAAGGCGAGTAGTCATCCTTCGTGTTGGGGGCTGATACGCATTCCTAGCAGTTAGTGTACGGGGCCTTGACTCGTGAGGTCGACATGGGTCACAAGTTCTTCCACAGCTGCATCCATGCTGGTCTAGATTGGGGCGTCGAACTCGTTCTCAATGAAGGTGACGTGAACCCCATGGGTGATCTTGTGGTTCTCAATGTCGTACAGGTCTTATGCCTTCATGGAGTTTATGTGCCCCATCATCACGCAGAGTGTGGCCTTGGGTGCGATCTTGTTACGACGTTTGGGTTGTTTCACCAGCTTGAAGCACTAGCAAACGAAAACCCGCATGTTGGCCAGCGTCCGCAGAAGAGCTCGATCGTATTGGTGCACTTGGTTGTTTGTAGCACGTGGTTGCAAATGAAGGCTGCGGTATTGGCTGCTTCGGCCCGCCAGAATTGGGCCAGATTGGCGTGGGTAAGCATGGCCATGCCATCTCCATCATTGTGCGATGGGTACGTTCGCCACGCCATTCTGTCGTTATTTCCTCGAGGAGGTCTCGTGCTTGATCCCATTGGAGTTGAGTAAATCTTCAAGTGGTGCGACGTGTATTCGACACCTTTGTCCGAGCAGAATTTCTTGACGTTGTTGCCCGTTTGGCATTCGGAGAATGTGATGTTTTTTTCTTGTAGGTTGGCGGTCTGTTGAGCGGAATCGGTCGAGTACACGAAACGAACGTTCTAGTAGCTGGTGCAGTCGTCGACTTAGTGTAGTAGCGATAACCTCCGACCGATGCGACAGGTAGTGGTCCCTTGGTGTCCGTGTCATCCTCACCTGGCTTGTAGGTTTTTGTGCTGGGTTTGGGAATGGTGACGTGGTGTATCTTGGCGCAGGTGCATGGTCTGTCCATGTCGGTGATTCGTAGCGGCAGTCCAAGGCCGGCTCTGGCGTACGTGCAATATGCCATAACGGGTAAGGGATCGATGGGGTGGTTCCAAAGGGCAGTATGATTGGCGACATTCGCGGCTGAGTTGGCCGACTCGTGTGTGAACACCCCTTCGAGGATGTACAATCGTTGATCGTTGCAGATTGTAGCACGGACTGCGGTCTTTAAACCCAAGAGGATGGTACATGCGTCACGCTGGAGTTGCACACGGATCTTGGGGTTGGCGCGCATCAGGGCCATAACTAACAACAGCATCGTTGTTCCATGATCAGCACGACGTCCGTCAAGGTGAGTGTCGACTGAGTTGATGTGCTCGTGTTGAGCTTGTCCATTACGTTTGCCGCGGTGGCTCCGCCGTTGGTGACAATGACCTGGCGGTTGCATGTCGCCTTGGCATACAAGTGGTCGGCCGCGCTCCTGTGTGCCGAGGCGCCGGAGCCGATCACGATGCGGTGTTCGATGGTACGTGCGTCGCAGTCTTCGGCCGACAGTGCCATGTCGGCTTCGTCATCACTTTCTTCTGAAAGTGGCGTATCGGATGTGGGATGCGAGGGACAGCTCAGTTTCGAACTCTGGCTCAACTTCGTCTTTGCTTGAGGGTGCGGGTTCGGTGTCGGCGAGGGTGCCGTTCGGGTGGAGGTAAAGTACATATGTCGTCGTTGTGTCTCCCGGATGTCTTCTGCTGGTGCCGAGAACCATTGGTTGGGGAAGAGGAATTCGCTGTCGTTGATATACGTCTCGTATGCCTTGACTCCAAGCCACGGGTAGTACTTGGGTTCATCGTGCGGGGTGCACTCGAATGCTCTCACTCGTACTCTGTGACTAGTCACCAAAGGCAGTACCAGGGGGTAGCGCCAAGACGTGTGTCGGGTCTTGGATTGGTTGGACCTGGAATGGCGCGAGGTCTTGGTGGCTCATAATGGTCAGGTTGTACGGGGTTCCCCCGATGGAGAGTTGTCTGACCGGTTGGCGCGTTGGTGCCAGTCTGGGTCGGTGAGGAGTGGAAGGGCATCGCCAGGTTCCCCAACGTAGGTGGGTTCTGTGTTGCCGGAACCAATTACGGTAGGTTGGTCACCTTCTTCCTTCGTTTCGCCGTTTGCGTTGACCATGTTCTCGAACATTGAGAACATGTATACCTCTAGTTGCCTCGATCACCCTCCGAAACTCTTACGTTACCAGAGATGAGCTATCACTTTTTCTTAGAATCCCTCTGTTCGCACGACATAGCGTGCATAGCGATGATTACGTGCGACGAAGACCTCGACCTCTTGTCCCCTCTATGAGTCTGTCCTGCCCGACATAGCTTAGTCCCAAACGCGGGCTTCCCTCCGCTCCAATCCGTTCTTTGACCTCCTTGTTAAATTCAAGGACATGTTCCCCAACGACCCCATCTGTCGCCTGCCTGTCGACAAGGGTATACGACACGAAATTGACCTCGTGTCCAGCACGAAGTATTGCGTTACTCGCCAATGTCCGCTTCCACGTGATCAAGCCGAAGCGATCGACGCGTTCTTTGCGGCTCGTACAGCAGCCGGCCACGTACGCGAAAGCACAACCCCACACAGCAGCCAGAAGATCAGTGTGATGAAAATTAACGGCAAATAGCACATTCTACACATCTTTAACAAGCTCAACGCCACCTCCATTCCGGGGCAAGCATCCATCCCCCGCAGAGATGTGATTATCGACGCCATGGATCGATCCACCATATCATCCACCATCGACTTGCGCGATGGGTTCTATCAAATCCTCATGCGCCGTTGTTAATTGCCTAAGAACAACGTCTCGACATATAGTGGAATGCTTTGGGAATGGCTCGTGATGCCCCAAGGCATATCCAATGCCCTTGCGACTTTCAATCGCATGGTGACGGCGAAGTTACGCCCTCTCTACGACTTATTTTGACGGCATCTACATCCATAGTCGCTGTTCTGAAACTGAGACTGACATCGACGTTCACCGTCGGCGTCTCCACGCGGTCCTTACCTTCCTTCGTAAGAATGTCTTGTATGCCAACCTCTCCAAGAGTTTGTTTGGGGTCGACGAAATCCCTGTCCTTGGAGACCACGC